CTGCTATTTAAAAAACAATATTGTTGGCAATGACGACCCATATAATTATTTCATTGTAAATGCCATCGAAAACTCACCACAATACCAATATAAATCAACAAATGAAAGTAACTTTTAAATTCAATAAAATTGAAAATATTGATAAGATAACATCAGTCAATTAAACTCCATACTTATACCTTTCCTTCCCTCAAAGAAAAAACCCTATCGTGAATCTATATTTGATAAAAGTTCGTGATTTTCTAATTCAAAAAATAACATAATTAGTAAATTATTCTTGGATCTGGTTGGACAGATTACAAGTAACGAGTACTTACCTTAAATGAAAAACACATTAGAAATACGTTGGTGTTGGTCACACATTGTGAATATTATAAACTTGAGTTCCGTTTTCAATGACCATCACTTCTACAGATTTAAACATTTCGTATTTGCTGTTAATGAGATTTGGTTTGCAGTCACTGGTCAATTGCAAAGGTATAGTTTCGTGTTGAAATATGCTATTTTTGTAATGCAAAAACTACGAATATGAAAGCCATAGTTATGAATGTTACGTTCCTTCGTGCGCACTTAATTGAAAGAAACCTCATATTGTTTACGGAAACACGTGCAAGCGAAAGACTGTGGAGTTGATAAGGTATGGTTTATGCTCGATTACGGAAAGCAAACGTAGTTTCGTGTTCAATAATACAATTACAACTTTCAAAAAATCGTGAAAAACTTTAGGCTGTGAATAATATTTCGTAAACGTAGTTCACAAAGATCGCTGATGATGAAAATCGTTTCAGTATTTCTTCCAGTTTGCGATTATTCATCTTTCCAACAAATATATTGAACATATAAATTGGCAACTCACACATAAATCATTCCCATATATTAGCGTGAAAAATTAGATTCTTCGAACTTACGAACATATATTTAATTTAATGCACTTCTGTCAAGACTCAATCGCGTTCCATAAATTGCGGATGAAGATTAACACTTGCCCTTACACCAATAAAAAGAAGTTCGAGATTACCAAAACCATGCATTTAAAATCTATAGTATCAGATAATAGTAGTATAGTAGATATAATTCTACGTATATCGCCTTTCCCTTTCTTTCTTAAAATTATCTCTAATTATCAGTATTTAAATTGCGTAACATTATTATATCTTTAAGTTCTCATAGCAAAAACGGCCAGTAGGCAAATTCATCGAGCAACATGTCGCAAAGTGTTGGTAATTATCAGTATTGCGGACAAAGGAATGGCCAGAGACGACAATTCGAAACATGCCCGGAATATTTTACGCGAATGCACACGCGAAGAATAGTGCACACACAAAATTTTAGCTGCTCATATGCATGGAAGAATTTTTATAAAATTTCAGGTTACCGTGCTGCCCGACACGTTTAAAGCGTTTGTACAACCCTAGTTCTTAATGCCACGTGGTGCTGCTGCTATGGTCTGCCAGTTTCTTAAAATACCACAGTAAAACTGACCCTCTGGCACCAGTAGATGACTAGTCATTACTTACAGAAATTCTATTATTTGTTTGTATTTTGGCGTGGGAACAAATAAACAGTATCACAATTGTGTAAATTGTGCTGCGATTTACGTGATTTGAAAACTATATCTCTTTTCGCACTTGAATACAATATTTAACACATTTATATGCTGAAAGATATTATAGGATGGAGATCTGCGAAGGTAAAAAAGTCTTTTTAGCAAAAAAAAAAAACGAAAATAAAATTAATAATTATAAACTACTGAAATGGGCAATATTTTTATTAACGCGGTCACTCATCCCAATAGGCTGCAAGCGTATTCAAAATGATGAAATGGTAATAAACACAATATTTCAGAATATCCATAGCATAGAAACTCCAATCGTCTGAACTTCCTGCTTCATTTTGCACCATTGAGCGGTGTAGACCTCAATCTGTATTTCTTTTAAGCGAAGAGTTCGAAGTAAAAACGGAGAGCACTTTTTCTAGGGTAGTACAATCTTCCAATAATTGCGTGATAAAGAAATTTCATCCCTTATTTGTTTTGTGCATTGACCAGTTGATTTGTGATCACTTATACTTTCGGGCTAAACATTTGGAGGTTATTTCGACTATGTCGCCTCTACCCTTTCTTCTTAACTAGGTACTAAGTACTTTCTCTTTCAAGGCTGCAACGGTTAAGGAATTCTCTGACTATACCAAGTTTTCCAGCACTGTTATTTCCATTCCCCAAGCTAATTTCCTAGATTCCCGTTAAAGATTATAAACAAGGGCATATCTGGTTTCGTTTTATTATGCGTTAACTAAGTTCTTATCTAGCCAATACAATTAGAATCAAATTAATGCTTGGAAATTGCGAAGTGTTTGAAATTTCATGTTTTAACAAATTGTAAAAATAATTTTAAAATGTTTATAAAGAATATTTTTTGTATTTCATAAGTATAATTTTAAACACCTAATAAAGAACAATATAATTAAAAAACAATAGATCTTAATGCTATACATAATCTTTCAACGTTCAGTTTGACAAAAACACCATGCCACTCAAGCATCTTTCAGTATTTTTTCCATTTCCATTTTCGTTGAAATAAACAAAACATCCTTTCTCTATCAAAGATATTTTATTGTAGTGTTGATGTATACTTCTATTTCTGATAATTAATTCCGTATTTTACTGCGACCATTTAAAGGTTGCTGAAACGCACGTTACATACGTGCGACTGGGTACACAAACTGTAGGAAAAATGCGAAATGACCATCATAGGTAAGGAAATAATGCGGGGAAAATAATTATTCATAAATTGCTATATATAAACTTTTCATTTTATTAACAAACTATTATACAACTGAAAAAAGTCGAGACTGTGGGTGAATGGGAATATGCACATGGATTTAAAAATGTACTGAAGCCGCTGTGACTTTATGAACTAATGGGTTATGTCGAATGTAGTAAGGTCTTGAAAAAATAATGTATGTCGCTAGGAAGTAAAATCTTTGTGAAACAAGGATCTGATTTCATCGATTCGTTGATTTCATTTCAATGCTTGAACAAGTTTTTTCAAGTATTTGACCTTAGTACATTCGGAGCAAACACTCTGCATTCAAAAATAAATTACATTGCAGTATTCAGATTAAGACAAACCAGCACAATCGTTACATATGCAACATCATGCAACTTTAAACATAAATAAGATTGCCTTGCGAACATTATTACTTGAAAATGTGCACAACTATCTTCAAATAAAAAAAAATAATTAAATAGACATAATTATGGCACTTAAAATTTTAACTATTTAATAATTTTAATATAATATTATTTACAAAATTTGGTCTTAGATATTAACAAAAATGGATATTCATTAAACAAGAAAACTTGAATTATCACATAACAAAATTCGAAACTAGCTTCGGCGACAGCACAAATATTGAAAAATCTTCAATTGCATTTAATTTACTTCACGATGGAAAGGATAACTCGAAATTAACTTTTCATATTTAGTATTAAATATGAGATTTACACTGTTAAGAAAAATAATTTGGTAGATTCTTTCAATTGGCGCTAAATCGCCGGAGGAGAAAATTTCCAAAGCCAAATTAAAAATATCAGGCAACAATATTTTCTGAGTTGGTAGTTCTAAAGATATACTAATGGATTGTTTTCGTTAAGGAGTTTTCTCTCGGTTATAATTGTTGTAATGTGGTGTTTCACTCCAATAAGTGCCGCATTGAAGATTTGTTCATCAATATTCGTGCTTTCCAAGTCTTATTATTACGTTTCGAAGCCACATAACACGAATCACGCTATAAAAAACAGTGAAGTGAAGTATTGTAATACTATTTACAAGGAACAATCCGAGAAACTTATGAACGTAACAGGAACCACAAAAACACAAGTTATTCATTGAGACGACATTTGCGCTAATGTTCTTGATTTCAAATGTATATGCACTGTGTCAGGAAGCATTCGAGTTTTACCAGACACTTTTCCCAGTACACCAAATGTAACTACGTATATAGAACATATTAAACATTTCAAGTGTTTCTCTTAGAAAGCTTGAAAAATAAGTAATTTATTTCATAAATAATGTTGAGCGGCAAAAACCAACAGCAGAAAATTGAGTGAGAATTTAATTTAACATTTTCAGACTACAGCCGGAAGAAGTAGTCTTTTAGAAATTGTGTGGCAATAAACAGATAGTTTAATTGTCATACTACGAAGCTTCCTTTGAACATTGTAATACAGTGCAAAAACAAAAAAACAAGATACGGGGGTACATCACGATAACCAGTGTTTCTTAGTATCTTTTGAGCAATAATTGTGACAAAATATGTCAGACATTTCCGAGAAGAATTTAACGAAGTATTTCTGTTGGAGATGTCGCAATATCGTGGTTTAAAAGCGGCATCACCTACGTTACGTATGCGCAAGCTCCATTCTAAACGAAATTACATTACTTCTTCGTTTTAGGAATGAAATACAGGCGCGTTGTCATACAACGAAATAACGTAGGCGTTGCGGATGAAAAATACGACATAAAATGAATGCGACACTACAAACACTGACTGATAATATTCTAAACAAACTTCTTTCGTGCGAGGGATTTTGTGGCCATAAACAGGGGCGAGGAGCCAACTCCGGGGGCTTCCCAATAATTTTCAAATATTTAACACATGTGACGAAAATTAATATAAAAATAAAGCTGTAGCTTTTGTAATTTAATATAAAATAATAAGTACAATACGTAAAATACTCCACAATTTCTCGGCCGCAATTCTTTTTAAAAATTGCCCCGTTTTAAAATACGAATAAATATTTTATGACGTTAATAAATAGTTAAATATAAATTTATCAACTACGATGTTTAAAACAAAATTACGAGGTCTGTAAGCCCGTGCTTATTGGATAGTCTCTCCCCCGCACAAACGAAGCGGTGACGTCGCGAGCTGGCCACGGAGAAACACTGGCGTCGCGCTACGAGCACAAACTTACTACGAGCGGAAATCGCGCGTCCTTAGTAGATAACGGAGACGGGCCTCCGCAGCTGCTCCATGTCGAGGCCGGCGCTGGCGCCGTGGGGCGAGTCGCTGCCGACGGGGCTCGAACTGGGGCTGAGGCGGCCCTGGTAGAGCAGCGGCGGCGCGGGCGCGTACAGCGCCCCGGCCAGGTGGTGCGGCGGCTGCATCTGGCCGGCCTGGGCCGACGCCGCCGTGCTGTACGTCGGGGACGTCTTCTGCCCGTACAGCGACGAGTAGAAGGACGAGACGACGGCGGCCGCGGCGGCGGCGGCCGAGCCCGGCGAGCTCTTCCCGTCCGAGGGCGACTGCTGCGGCTGCATCTGCGGTGGCTGGCCGCCCACCAGCTTGGAGAAGTGCACGGCGTCGAACGCCGACCCGAAGTACGGCGAGAGGTGCGGGTAGGCCGACAGCGTGTCCAGCGGGTGGTGGTGGTGGGACGGCGCCACGGCGGCCGGGTTGGCGAAGTACGGCGGCAGGGCGAAGCTGGCGAACGCGCCCCCGGCGGCTGGCAGCTTGCCCACCCCGGGCACGGGCGGTTTGGGCTTGCGGCGCGGCCGGTACTTGTAGTCCGGGTGCTCCTTCATGTGCATGGCGCGCAGCCGCTTGGCCTCGTCGATGAACGGGCGCTTCTCAGACTCGCTCAGCAGCTTCCACTCGGCGCCCAGCCGCTTGGAGATCTCGCTGTTGTGCATCTTGGGGTTGTCCAGCGCGATCTTTCGGCGTTGGATGCGCGACCACACCATGAAGGCGTTCATGGGCCGCTTGATGTGCGGTTCGGGGGTGGTGGCTGCGGCGGGCGGTTGTGGCTGCTGCTGCGGCGGCGGAGCGGCCGGTTGGGGGGACGGCTCGCTCATGAAGTGATGGTGATGGTGGTGCTGCTGCATGACGTCCAAGGGCGCCGCCAAGCCGTAGCCGAGCCGTACGCGGGGTTCACTGTGGAGCGCCATGTCCACGTGGTAGGGTCAGGGAGAGCAGAGCGCGTGCCAGGTGACCTCGCTGAGTGCGGCTGAGGGACTGACGAGGCAGCCGGCCGCCGGCGGGGTGCGCCCGGCGGCGGAAGGGACGCCCACCGCCGGCGGACGGGAGGAGTCGACGCCCGCCGGCCAATGGCCGCGAGGGACCGGGGGCGCGCGGTGGTTGGTCGGCGCCGCGCGGTGGGGGGAGGGCCGGTGGAGGGGGAGCGGAGAGGCGCCGCCGGTGGAGTTGACCTCGTGACCCGCCAGGAGCGTCGTGGTGTCGTCTGCACCAGGTGGGGGCACGCTGCCGGGCTTGCGATACTGCTGTTTTCCATGCCCCCCCCCCCAAGAAAGATGTCCGTTTTTTTGTCATTCATTAGTAACCAAATCCACAAAAACCCACTGTTAAATAGAGAATTACCTCCAGGCTGACAACAAACAAGCTTATGACAAAGTTAGCAGATTATGGTATAACGTATAATTATCTTCTCTATTTCATCACATTACGCCAAGGTGTTGTCATTTACAAAAAAAAACATCGACCTAAAACCTCGTAAATGTGCTGGCTAGGCAATTACCTATAGTTCTGTAACATACAGAATTGTGAATAAAAATGAGAGATTAGAAAAAGTGTGACAATACTAGGCCCACGATCTAACAAACGACACAGACTGTAGCGATACTATTTGAGTGACGCTATCCTGCCTAACTCAAAAACTGCCTAGGTCCTTAAAACTGGAGTTTCTTCTCGCACATGTAATTTTCTTTCTTTCACGGTGTCGTAGAAGATATTTTTTGAAGTTACTACATCTTAAGTGAATGGATTGAGACAAATATTCAATCATGGTTTCTGGTAGGAAGTGATTTTTTCTTCTTAAACACTGGAATAAAAATGCGGAATGTACCTATGGATCCAGCGAGTTCCTAGTAAATATTAGAAAACGTGCATGTACACGATCTTATTTTCCATATACCTCCACGACTTTGAATTTTAGAACAAAAACTATCGTATGTGTATGTTTACTACATGAACCCCTTACTTCCAATTGAAAGAATTAAAAAAGTAATAAAAATTAATTGAACTCTTATAAAGTAAAGAAAATAATTAGTCTACTTTATGTATGTTTAAAGTACGTATTTTTGAAACTTTTAATAGCCTTTCTACCTATATACCTATACCTACGTCTTGCGCGTGTTTGTTTGTTCGTAGTGTACGTAGGCTTTTCAATTACTTCTCGAAACAATTCAATAGCGTGTATGCATTTCTTGAATGATCCGTTGGTGAGATCGGATAACAAACATAAACTATTATCGAGGTGTATAAATGAAAGTACAATTTAAAAAAACAAACATAACCCATTACAAAGATGATGTTCGTTCACAAATTGTTCCTTAAACCACTGTAACTCTCATTGTTAGAAAGTAATTAACATTTCTCTACTTATCTTTTTAATAACATTTTCACTTGCGAAAGTGTCGACTGCTCAATGGCTTTTCACACGAGGCTTTTCACTCTTTACTTATCGGTTACGAGTTATCTGACGCCATATATCAAGGCGTTTTTACAGCATTGTGCCCAATTAGATATTTTCGGCCATCGAGATATCGCGTTAGTACATTTTAATAAATTAATTTTACTGGAAGTAAAGTTATATAACCAAGTGACGGAAAAAATCGTTGATACCACTAATTACTGGAAATTGTATTAAATGATTTGATAAACATATCGTTAGTATGTGTTAAGCGCATAGTGTTAAAAATGTATTTTAAAATGTTGTTAACTTTCGTTTTTTACTTATCTTGCCTTAAAAAGGTCGATTTTCTAAATTGAAACTCCTTGATTTATCAATTCATCTACATATTCATATACTACCTATCTGTTAATTAGTTTAAAAAATGCCAAAAGTAATAATAGATACTATATCTAACTTTATTTATTCTGACAAAAGTATAATTTATTCCAAAAACGTTGTTTATAATAAAAAATTAACTGCCTATGCACCAAAATTTGTTTCTTTTCTTTTTTTAACGCACAGTTATTTTTTTCTTTTAACTAAGTTGCAAAATATTAAGAAACCTGCACGAAAATTGACCTAGCGTATGCAAAACAACTTTCACCCACAGCATATTAAAAGAAGTACTTACATAAAATATTTAGTAGTATATGCAACCTGTGCGAGGGGATTTGTGCACTTGTTACGTGACTTATTATTTCAGCCGTATGCAAATTGAAGACTAAATAATTCCTTCGTCTTTTCTTGCGAAACGTACTTTCTACTTGTACTTGTAAATTGAGGGCCAAGCCCAACCAGGTAAGGAGTAGGGCTGATACAGCAGGTAAGCGCGTTTGGGAATCTGCCTCTGTCGCGCTGCTACCCAGCTGTTCCTTGTGGCTTATTGAAAATCTTCCAGACTCGCTCCCATATGAAAATGAAAAGCAACAAAAGGAACTAGTAAAGTATCCAAAATTTCCCGTTCTGCTCAATAAAATATTAGCTGAGAGAAAGGGAAGAATATAAAAAATGGCATGACAAGCAAAATTCACTCAATTAAGAATTAAATTGAAACTCACTCAATTAACATAATTCAATTGAATGCAAACCAACATTAAGCAAAACATATTTCCAACAAAATATGCCAGTCGTAAGTCTGGAAAATTACGGAGGGAGTTGGGTTTTAAAACTCGTGGTTATGAAAACGTTCTTCGAAAATAAAGTGTCACCTTCCATTTTTACGAGGAAAGTGAGGAGATAGTCGGTCCGCAATTTACGTATGTCCTCTCTCGGTCTCCAAATTACAAAGGGGTTAAGCTCTCACTTTCCTTCTGGTCCCTAATTTACATACGCATATTATTTTTCTTGAAGGATCAGTGAAAAACGCGGTTTATTTATAACTTCAAGCTGTTTTATACCGCAGACCGTACCTTTTGAAGGTACTATTTTAAATCACTTCATTCATGAACCATTCCACCTCAAAAACCACGTCATGACGCTCACAATTTCACACTTTGTGTACATCGTAAATCGAAGAAGGAATAATCTACATTTCTTCCACCTTTACACTGTAAACAATGCCTCAGCATCTTGGGGAGAGATCTTTCTTCGATTTTACACAATGCCTTGGTTCAACCAAGTGTCGCGTTTTTCTTGACCACTCACACACACCGAATAGCAGAAGCCTTGGAGTTCTTTCAGAAATGCACGACCGGCCCTCCAGAAGGAGATAAATTCCGTGTTACTACAGCCATTTGTGCAAAGTTTTCAAAGTTTCCGCGAGTTTATCAACCGACACAAAGAGGTTCTGACGGCCGAAGCATCCGGTCTTTTCTGCGACGTGCCATTGTCCCATTGTGCCTTTGTGTTACTGTGAATAGACGAGAACACTCGACCAAAAGTTGTCAACTTTTGGGGCCGATTGTTGAATGGACCGCAGCCCATTCGGCGAAAAATCTCGGCCACCTGGCTTCCGAAGATCCTTCAAACCCCAACGGCCTTCTGCTTGGTTGGAATGCCGAACACCTTGGCGACCTCGCAAAAAATGTACAAATTGTCTAGGAAACGAATCCCCGAATTCGTCTTGTCTTTCTTCGTAGTCTTCACTTAACGGCTTGCATTTTCTTCATCTTTCATCACTCTTAATGTTGTCATTACATAACTTATTTTTTTGTGTTTTCTCTTAATTTTATTCATTTTTCATTTACTTTATTTATGGTTAATAATTGATAATGCATCGTTTAACACGTTCTTATTCTTTTTCTTGCTGTTGTTGTTGTTGCTGTTCTCCTTCTTCTTCTTCTTCTTCTTTTTCTTTTTCTTCTTCTTCTTCTTCTTCTTCTTGAAATAAGTGAGGTGCATGCTACATTACCATAAAACGAGAATACGTAAAAAGAACTCACAAACACAAGTAAATCATTTTTCTTCCTATTAAACATTTATTATTGTACGATATACAAAACCTGTGTTATTAATAAAGGTCTGAAACAAGTCATAATGACAATTTTTTTAATAATGAAAATATTAGTGTCTTTGAACCTATGTCCGAAAGGAAGGCGTATGAAGGATTTTTTCGCCATTAAAAATCCACGGTTTGAACCGCCCACTTGCGTACAACAATCCGGTATGCTAACAGTTACACCGTCGCGGCGCACAAATTAATTGGTGTTAGTGGAAAGAACTCGTAAACAATTTATTCGCGGAAAAAAAAAGAAAGAAAAATATTATCGGCCTGATGACGAGGTACGCGTAAGTAGCGCGGAGGCTTTGGCGCATCCATTCAGTCGCCGCGCGTGCAGCGTGAGGTAGGCGTTCATTGAGGGCGATGAGTTCCGTGTTGCCGCGCCGGGCGGTGTGCCGGGATTCCTCCTGGCGGAGGGCGACGGCGAGGGCGGGGGGGGGCGAAGGGCCGGCCCTTTCTCCGCGGAGGCCCTTGGCCGCGCTTTGTGGCGCGCGGCGCCGGACTTCCCATCGCCCTTTGTGCGCCCTTTGTAGCCCTTTGTGTGGCAAACAGGCGCTGGCGCTGGAGAGCCCACGCTTTGTGGCTTAGCGCGCGGCCGCGGCCACGGCCAGTCGGGGTGCGGGTGGGGGTGGAGGGGCCGCGGGTGGCGAAATTGGGAGAGGAGGAAGAGGAACTGAAGATGGTGTTGGAGGCGCCTTCGCCATCTCCATCTATCATCTCCATTTCCAAATCCATTCCTAGGGGGAGTAGGAGGGGAAGGTGGAGTTGGAGGGGAAGGTGGAGTTGGAGGGGAAGGTGGAGTTGGAGAGGAAGGTGGAGTTGGAGGGGAAGGTGGAGTTGGAGGGGAAGGTGGAGTTGAAGAGGTAGATGGAGTAGGAGGGGTAGAATCAGTTGGAGAGGTTGATGGATTTGGAGGGATAGATGGAATTGGAGGGGTAGATGGAGTGGAAGGGGTAGATGGAATTGGAGGGATAGATGGAGTTGGACGGGTAAATGGAGTTGAAGAGGTAGATGTATTCGAGGGATAGATGAAGTTG